GCTGTTTCTGGCATGTCGTTAATGTAGGCCAGGAACAGTAATGGACCAAGGACTGTGCCTTGGGGTACACCAGAGAGTACTGGTACTTGTGTGGAGACGGCTCCCTCTAGTATTACGCTCTGCTTTCTGTTATGTAGGAAAGAGCGAATCCATTTATTGGTTTTGGGGTTGACGCCATAGTATGCCAGCTTGTGTAGTAGGCGGTGATGTGGTACCTTGTCAAATGCTTTTGCAAAGTCTAGCAGGATGATGTCTACTTGGCTGCTGCTTTTTAATTTTGATGCAATGTCGTTGATGGTTATGATGAGTTGGGATTCGCATGATCGTCTTTTGCGGAATCCGTGTTGTGCATCAGTTAGTATTTTATTTTTGTCAAAGTGGTCCATGATGTTGCTATGTACAATATGTTCTAAGACCTTACATATGATGGAAGTTAGAGATACTGGTCTGTAATTAGATGCTAAGTGCCTTTCGTCTTTTTTGAAAAGTGGAACTACATGGGCATCTCTCCAATCTTGCGGGACTTCGCCAGTGTTCAGTGATGCTTGGTATAGGTCTGTGAGTATAGGAGCAAGTTGTTCTGCTGCTGCTTTAAGTATAAAGGATGGTATTGAGTCAGGACCAGTAGCTTTGTGAGGTTTCAGGTTTTTTAACAATTTGTGGACTCCGTTGGTGCTAATTTTTATGTCCTTCATGGTGGAGTATGGACTTCTTCCTTTATCTGGGAAGTTATTAAGGTTTTCTTTGGTAAATACTGACTGGAATTGGTCGTTTAGAATGTCAGCTTTGCTCTTGTTGTCACTTTGCAGAAATCCCATTTTGTTTTTTAACGGTGCCACTCCTGTCCATTCTTGACCTTTGCTCTTGATATAAGACCAGAATTTCTTTGCGTTATCTTTATAATCGGAGCTGACTTCTTCCATATATTTCTTGTTGGCTTGCCGGACTTCCCACTGAACTTCTTGTTGTAGTCTTTTATACCTATCCTTGTCTCTTTTCTTTTTAGTTTTCCTAGCCTTCTTGTGTGCTTTTTGTTTTTGGTTAATTTTGCGTCTAATGGTTGTATTAATCCATGGATGAGTGTTTCTTCCTTGAGTCATTTTTGATGGTACTCTTTTCTCTATGGTGGTTTGTACAGCTGTTTTGAATGCCTGCCATAATGACTCAACGCTTCTATCTTTGATATTTTTGAAAGTAGTTTTGTAGGTCTTCCTTTATTTTATGTATTTCAGCTTTTTTCCATAGGAATATTTTTCTTCTGACTGGTTTAGGTTTAAGTGGTTTGCAAGCCATATCTAGGAGGACGATGTCATGGTCGCTGTTTCCTATTGATGGTAATGGTTTGCATCTTAATTTAAATGATGGATGAGAGGTAAGCAATAAATCTAAGGTGTTCTCTTTGCGTGTTGGAAAGTCCACAATTTGTTCTAGCCCGTTGTCCGCTACAAGTTCTAAGAAAGCCTGGTTGGTTCTGGTAGGATACTGTCGATGTTCTATAGTTTGTTCTGTCCAGCTAATATCTGGTAAGTTGAAATCACCACCAATAAGGAATATATCTTTTTGATGTTTTGCTCTGATGTTATTTATTTCTTCTTTCATTTTATTCAGGTAGGTGTCGTCTGTTTTATCAGGTGGTCGATAAATTGCACCTATAAGTATTTTCTTTTTTCCTTCTAAGTTAATAGTGCCAGTCAGTAGTTCTATATCTGTGCTTTTTATGATGTTACCCACCTGTAATGTTTGTTTAGCTGCTATCATTACCCCTCCGTGGGGGTCTTTTGGGCGATCTCGGCGTTCCGTGTCATAGTGGAAATAGTCTGGTATGATCTCACTTGATTTGATGTTTGGATCAAGCCATGTTTCCGTGCCTATTATTACGTCTGGCTCAGTTGACTCGATAATTGCTTCAAGTAGTTTATCCTTTTTTCTGAGACTTTGAAAATTGATGTTTAAAATTCTTAACTGCTTTTTAATGGCTGGCTTGGTTTTAGTTGGTTTTGGTGATGATGTCATGATCGGTATATCTGTGCTGAAAGATGTTGTGTTGAATGATGGTGAATTAATGCTTGATCCTGATGTTGATGGTATTGATGCTTCTGATATACAGTCTGCCATTAATGGATTGGTTGATATATTTAGTGTTGAGTGCTTGCTGTCATCTCCATTTGGTATAAGATATATTTTTGTTGAAGAATTGTTTGGTTTGCAGCAAGATGGGCAAGTCCATGTGTCTTCGCTTTTGCCTAGGTTGCTGTATTCCGATGTTGACATACCAATGCAGTTTCTGTGTGTCCACTTGTCGCAGTCGTCACAAGCTATGGATTCTATTTTACATGCTTTTTGGCATATCGTGCATGGAAATCTTGGTCGTCTTGGTCCTGGGTTTGTCTCAATGCCACTCAGTAAGAGTAAGATGAGTCTTTGTGTACTCCTCTCTCTGATAATTTTAAATTTTTGTTGAGTCAATTGCATTTGTTTTTTACAGCTTTTTATCCAGTAGTAAGTTTGTACAGATGATGTTACTGGGTTAAGATGGTGTTCAGATAAGTATATATTCACCCCTTCTAGAGCATTGTTTTTGTAAATGCAGTCCTGATATGTTGGTTTGTATTTATGTTGTGGGGTAAGTATCACTTGATGTACAGTAAAAGCTTGTCTTGTCCAAAGAGTAAGTGTAAGTATGAATACAGTATAATAAAACATTTTGGTTGTTGATAATGTATCTTATACTAACGGTACTTACAATATAATGGATGTTTCAATCTGAGTCTTTGTGTTCTTTTCTATCACTTCAAAAGTCCAGTTCTGGAAGAGAAAACAATGGTTGGGTGTTTTTGTGTGATCCTATACAAGAGGTAAGTAGCAAAACCTGATAAGATTAACTCACCTAGAATTTTACTACTCGTCTTGTCTGTTCACTTTTGGCACCTTTGTTTTCTTGGTAGTTTGAAGATGTTGATTAGAATAAGGAGTTTAACTCCTCTTGTTCAACTCGGATTTGTATGAATTCAGATTCCTGATCTATATTGAAGCATTCGGTGTATGTGTCCAGCAATATATTCTTAGTAATGGCTAGGCTTAGTAGACGTCCAGGATGTATACCGTCCTTGCTGTTAATTGACAGGTTGACCGATTTACGTGTTTGTCCTTTCCTTCTCTTGCGCCCTCTGAAAAAGTATTTGCTTATTTTTACTGATGTTTTGTTGAGTCTTCTGTTGAGTTCGTATATTTTACCATTTAGTTCTTTTATTTGTTTGGTCACCAAGAAATCCTCAACTTTGTATGTTTCTGGTCTTTTATGCCCTTTGTTCTTGTTCCAGTTTGATATAGATATGAGTGGACAATCAATACATTTTATTTCAGCATGTTGATAATTGTTAATAATACTTATAGCTCTTTTGTATTGATCTTCTATAATTTTGATTGCTCTGTTATTGTGAAATTTTAATTTGATATATTTTCCTTCTTTTGTGGTGAGATCACATGTCCCGGACCAGAGGTAAATAATTATGTGGTGGTGTCTCTTGATGGCCTTTGCAATTCTAGTTTTGATCAGGTTAACAAGTACTTCGGTTGTTGCCCCGGATTTACACCAAGTTTCCAGTGGAAATTCTTTTTGCAAGCAATTGTTTCGTAGGGTAAAGCCTTTGCTGTCGGAGACTAAGATTGCAGTTTTATGTTGGAAGCCAGGAGGAAATTGTGGCTGGTCTGCAATGTATTTTTCTAATTTTCTACTCATATGGTCATTTGGTAATTTGATTTATCCCGCCAGATTGTTTACAGAGATAAACCGGAAGTTGAAATGTCAAACAAAGAGGTACGTTCCCGCCAGTTGTCAAATTTTGAAATCAAATTTATGAGTATAAAGATCGCAATTTTGTTTAAATGTGTGTAGTGATGTATTTTACACCCTGTATATATATAAATGCATATAAATATTCTCTAGAATAGTCGTAGATGATGAATTCTTCAGATTTTCAGGAGCCGTCAGAGAAAACAGCTGTCTTGCCCGAGCATGCGCACAACTGTTATTGTCCAGAAACCAGAAATCCTAGTTTTTTTTTGTCCCTTTTCAGCCCCTTATTCCTAAACGATTTGGGTCATGACTCCCAAAATCAATCCCAACCTTCTTTTTGAGGTATGGAACTTTGTGGTAAAATTTCTTAGAGATCCATACACTTATACGCAAGTCATTGTCCTGAAACAAGAAAACTACTTGTTTTTGGCCCCTTTATAGCCCCTAATTACTAAACAGCTACGACAATAACCCTCAAAATCAATCCCAACCTTCCTTTTGCGGAATGGAACCTTGTGCTAAATTTTCATAGTGATCCATACACTTATACTCAAGCTATTGTCCGTGAACCAGAAAAAAATGCTTAATTTTGCCCCTTTTTGTCCCTTCATTACTTAACATCTGAAATAACACCCAAATTCAATCCCAACCTTCCTTTTGTGGTATGGAACCTAGTGCTAAAATTTCATAGAGATCCATACACTTATACTCAAGTTATTGGCCGTGTACCGGCCAAAATGTCTTCGGACGAAAAGAAAACAGCTTGTTTTTTGCCCCTTTTTGACCCTTAATTACTAAACCGCTACGACAATAACCTAAAAATGTCTTCGTACGACATATGTCTTCGGACGACGACGCAGACATCGTCATAGCATAAAACGGATACTAGTGATTATAACCATAGAAAATGAAAAACAGGCATCCACACTGATATGTGTCCACACTTGTTACGTTATAAATTATAAATAAAATGTACATTTTTTTGCGATCACTGAAATATATTCAATGACAGCATGTAATTCAATTGCAGTTGATGATTAGGTTTAATATGCACAAATATGCCGATTAGAGAACAGAAATAGATTTCAGACTATCTATACAAATCCTTGCTATGATAAGCATGATAAGTAGTCATTTTCGGAAAGTCATGTGCATTACGTAATGTACTTTCGGTTTCAGTTTCAGAAGCAGAGAAGTTCCGAAAGATTTTCTTTGCGGCAGAAAAATGGTAGCAGATAACAGAAACATGAAATTGAGATTACAGCAAAATTTATGATTTGAGTATCATAGTTTATAAAGAATGAAGGTAAGATAGACACATGCAGGTACTAGAATTTCAAATTTTACAAAGCTCATGAAGCTGATATTTGTTATGCACCATCAGAATTTGGTATACTTTTTCCCGCCATAATATTTTTATTAATTAATTGCAAACTGTTTCCAATTTGTTTCAACCTATAACTGCATAAGCTCGTGCCTCCTGTACTTGGCAATATTGGTATAAGATTGAAAAGAATTTTATTCACCAAATTGGCCCCAGGAGAAGCACAAGAAACACAAAATGAATACATTTGCCAAAGTCTTACCTGGCAAAGACTCAAAGTGGATTAAGTGGGGTTGACCTGTTGACCCTTCTGGTATATGCAAATTCGCTTGTTTTGCTATAAAATTAATCACAGGAGCATATAGGCATAAGCCACGGTCACACCAGTCAGGGGACTTACTTAAATGCATGATTTCTAAATCACTGATTCAAGTATCATTTTGTCCACTAATGTTGGAAGTAAATAGTTGTCTTTCTTTAATAATCACTTATTTAAGTAGTAAAAATAAATCACTAGTCTAAGTGATTTAATTTTATTGTAGCTCTAAACATACAATACTAATGATCCAGGGACTAATTATGTTGCTGAAATTATCAGAACCAACACAGGGTTTTCAATAAACACCGGCACCCAGCGAATTTTCCCAGTTTCAAATTAAGGAATTCACCGGTTCAAATTGTGTTTCCAAATAAAAATAAAATTAATAAAACTCTGCTATCGTTGCTTAAAACAAGTAGTTACCGATTTGACTTTTGTCTTCGCTTGCGCTTTGTTTAGGTGTTCTCGTCGAGGTCTGCGTTATAATATACTTATAGATTCTCGACAACGTTACGAAGATGGATAAGGGACGAGACCTCCGAAATGATTTATAATGCAATCATTTGTGCGCTTTATCATGTTTAGAAAAGGATAATTCTACATCTTAGTAAAGCGCCCTTTTGTCACAGAGAGAAAACACATGTTGACCCAAGATGACAAGTAAACAAGCAAAAAGAAAATCGACGTTGCTTGATTTCTTTACAACCCCCATAAAGAAAAGAGAAGCTGGTGAAAACAGAATCACATGTTATGCAATTTACACATGAATATCGGTAGTTGTTGTGACTGACAATTCTTTAATAAAGATCATAATACTTTTCGGATCCATTCAACTGTTGAACTGTTCAATGCTGATATGTTTGTCAAGTATATGTATAATTATTGACGCAGAGCTCAACATGAACACACAATATGTCGGTGTAACAACAGGTCGATGTACATGTATTGTTATCCTGTTTCCAGTTTCTGTTATAGTTATATAGTCTAACCTACTCTGAAAATTTCGATTATAAAAAAAATAATCACAAAAATTTCATATAGGTTGGCCTGCAATTTTTGTTTTTAATGCATGTTATTTTTTTAAAGGCAGTGCTTTAATGCCTTTCTAGTTGCCGGGTTAATCCTTCCTTCCGCGATATCCAACTTATCTATGTGGGGGGTCATTAGACTCCAAGTAGATCCGGAAATGTTGAATTCTCTCCTCTTCTTATTGCGATATAAAATGCTTTTTGTTTCATTTCATTTACATTGGGAAATAGAGAAACGATCATTGTGTTTTGTTAGTTTTAAAAACTTTTGATATATTAGTATTTTGCATTATAAGCAGTCAACCGATTGACAAACTAGAATTATTTGAATTCCGTGTGAAAGAGCTCGGGTTAATTTCGAGTGTTATCTGCAATCTAGATGTTTATAAATCATTTCAGTCGTTGATATAATAATTAAAGGTCGACTGAACATGAATTATATTATACAATTTAAAGCGCATTTCTGTTTATGCACGTGAACCCGTCTAACGTTATTTTCGCAGTTATATAAAGTAGCAAATTATCGTTCCTGAATAGGTGGCGCCGTGGTAGCGGATCCTGTTCCTCTTCTTCCGGTTTCTGCACTGTGCAACTATTTCAGTTATATTTTTAATTAACGATGCCAAGTACTTGTTGTTGTGTACCTGGATGTCATTTAAGAGGAGGACATGCATTTCCAAATGACTTAAAAAGAAGGAAAAGTAGGATCAACGCCATGGCCCATACGCAGATTGGACGAGAACACGATGATTATTGATATCGTGGAGTCCATCTCAATCAGCTGTTGTTTGCAAGGCACGTTTTACTGAAAAAGACTACGTGCAGGAAACTATTCATGGTAAAACTCTTTTTTCTTTGTGAAATATATAGTTATATATGTAATCGCCATGCGAATAAACCAAAGTCTGTTTACAACCGCAATTATCGTTTTAGAATAAAAGGGGGTAGGTAATATTCAAGACGTCATAATTTTTTGGATTACGATTCAATGTGATCTGTTTGAGATTTTTTGGTGATTGCTACAATTATAATGATTTCTTACAAGAGGTATATCATACTGAGAATTATTTTAGCAGTAATTATGCTAATGTAGTAATGACAGGAATGCATAAGCTATGCCTCATAGACTTTCTTGAAAAATATCAATGACAATGTTAACAGGAACAAAACAATGACATGCTCTCATCTATATTATAGTTATTTAGGTACAAACAATGTACGTTTGTTGCATAAGTCTCTCATTGTTTGTCCTTTGGATTTACATAACATACATTGAATCAGGCAAACATAGTTTTATCCAGATTGTAATGAATAAATCTAGTTAATATTTCGCCAGGTAGTACAAAGGAATTATAGTTATCTCGTACCATTGTAAACTCGTACCAATGTCAACTCGTACCAATGCAAACTCGTACCACTGCTAACTCGTACCACGGTAAATTCATACCATTGTAAACTCGTACCAACTTATTTAAATGCATTCAAATGGTGGTTAATGATGAATATATACTTTAATTTCCCTCAATACCACGTAAATCTGTAAAGTGTATATAATTTGAAATTACAATGACCAATTTGTAGCTAATTTTCTTTGTCTAATTGGATAGAGAAAACCGTGGCAGATTGGCTTTGTTGTCTCCCTTGAGTAGACTCTTTTTTTAAACTTTTACTGACAACTATTTGATTTAATTTTTAATCATTCCAAATCAGTATCATTGAATAGATTTGTGTATTTTTCTTTTGTTTCTAAAAGGAATTTTTATTTAACGAAAGAATTTATTTATTGTGTTTTAAATAAACTCATCATAGATACCAGGATTAAATTTTGTATTTACGCCAGACTCGCGTTTCGTCTACAAAAGACTCATCAGTGACGCTCGAATCCAAACAAGTTAAAAAAGCCAAATAAAGCACGAAGCTGAAGAGCATTGAGGACCAAAATTCCTAAAAGTTTTGCCAAATACAGCTAAGGTGATTCTATTCCTGAGCTAGAAAAGCCTTAGTATTTCAAAATTGCAAAAGTTTTGTAAACAGTTAATTTATAAATATGACCATATCAATGATAATTCATGTCAGCACAGAAGTGCTGACTACTGGGCTGGTGATACCAAAACAAAATCATAAAACATTCGTATTTTTTAATATATTTTTAATGGTACAAGTTTGCAGTGGTACGAGTTCTGATTGGTACGACTTCCCAGTGGTACGAGTTTACGTTGGTACGAGTTAACTTTTTTGGTACGAGTTTACGTGGTACGAGTTTACAATGGTACGAGTTAACTTGCTTCCGTACAAAGTATACATTGCTAATGGAAGTTCATTTAATTATAAAAAAACTAATGTTTTATAACCTTTTTCAGGGCGCAAACCCACCATACAGAGACTAAAGTCTACTGCAATTCCCAGCCTATTTTCCTGGACCAAGCAAGAGACTGAATCGTCCGCAAAAAGAAAAATCAGGGCAGTTTCCTGTGAAAACAAAAGAACTAAACTTGATGAATATTGTAGTAGAAATCTAGAGGAAAGTTTTGATTGTAAAGTTGGTTTTCCTGAAGAAGTCATTCATACTGCAGAAAGGATTTATGACTGTCCACCACCAACTGCCGAGCTAATGTTGAGCTTCACAGATGGAATTACGCAAACACCATCAATGCCTATGTTTTCAGCAGAGAATTTTGAAATGAAGACACGTGACACAGCCATGCATTTTTATACCGGTTTAGAGTTGTATACTAAATTTTTATTTGTTTTGACCACACTTGGTCCAGCAGCACATTGTTTGAGATACATATATTTTCAAATTGATAGGGTGTCAGTTGAAAATCAGTTTTTTTATGACTTTGATGAAATTGAGGCATCATACAACCAACTTTGAACTGTCTAGATTCTAGATTGAATCTAGTGTTAAGAATATTGTGTATACATGGATTGTTTTTATGTCTAAACAGTGGTGTGAGGCTAACACTTGGCCATCTAGTGGTTTAGTCAGGTATTTTTCACCATTCAACTTCAAATTAAAGTTTCCTACGACTTGGATTATTATTGACAGCACAGAATATCCCGTGATAAAACCTAAAGCTCCTAGAGCTCAGGCAACCTTTTCATCAAATAAAAACAGAAACACTGAAAATTCTTGAATGTTCGACACCTGGTGGTTTAGTCAACTATGTCTCTATGTCACATACATTTCTGTAGAGCGAATTATTGGACTTGGCAAAACATACAAAATTCTAATAAATCCTATGAATGGAACTGAAACAAAACTTTCATCTGAAATAACATTTAGTTGTTTTATGTTGTGTAATTTTAGAACTTGTATTGTGCCTAAGGATGCATAAATAAAAGTGACGCAATGAATTTTGTTCTGATATATATATATTTACAATTACATGCACATGTAAATTGTAATGCATATAAAAATAAGGAGATGTGGTATGATATTCAGTGAGTTTATCAAACTAAAGTGCATAAGAAATGGGTTTAAGCAGTTACAGGTGTTACTGTCACAGTACAATCTCCAACAATGAGAAAAACTCGTACCCTGTAAAAAATTTCAGAGATCTTACAACTAAGTTTTGTTGTCTCACCTTGACTTTGGTGAATTTTTTATATCTGTTGATGTAAATATAAAAAAG